CTCCATTTAATGCATGTATAGGTCCTGTTTGTGCATGTGTGTGTATTCCAGGTCTGTGTGTATATGACAACAGAGTATAAAGATTGAACTTCCCCTCAGTTATCAGTGTATCTTCTTCTTATAAGACTAAGTTAATTGCCTTGTCAAGCTGTCATAAAATACACTTCATTCAAAGTCAGTGGAAACAAAATTAACCTTAGTCTAAAGTTGGTCTAGCTGGTCGTCTAGTTAGTTAGTCCTTTATTCCAACAATCACCAACTCTGCTTTGGCCAAAACAAACCCTTAATTCGCTGAGTTAGATGTGGAAATACATTGTTTCCCTGCTGTTTCTCTCTGCCTTTGCCTTTTTACTTGTCCTATAACGTTATCCCCACCACTCCAAGTCACATCTCTCCAAGCACTGCTGCCTGTTCCACCAGTAGAGACTGACCTCTTGTGGCGTGTGCTGTGCACTACAATACATTGCTTCAATACTTCATTTCTCGTCGAAATCCAGTGCTTGGGCAGTGACTTCACAGTCAGAAGCCAACAAAAAAAGTGTCCTTTAACGTCAGCATGATACGTAGCCGGTTGCCCTTTTAGTTTAACGGCGACCATCGGCGTCAGGTAAGGCGACAAAAGTCCAAGTGGGGCGGGCAAGAGAGGTGGAGGGTAGGTCCAACAAACACTGACCTTTACCTGTGAGAGCGGTGTTCATGTTAGAGCTTAGATCAGGCCCAAAAAATTCAGCCCGACCCGGCCCGAACCCGTGCACGGTATGTCAGGGATCGGCCCGGCCTGTACAATTAACTGTAATTATGGGCCCGAGCCCGATTTAAACCCGACATTTTTCAATAAGTTGGCTGTTATAATTAACTCCCACTTATCTCTACCACCCCCCTCTCTCTCTCTCTCTTTCTGTATGTGTGAATTGCAACCCCCAACCTGTAGCCATTTCTCTCTTTCTCATATCTGACTCTCTCTCTCTCTCTCTCTCTCTCTCATATCTGACTGGCCCGGCCTGAGCCCGTCAGAGGGGTGGGGGGCCCCGGCCCGACCTGGCTTGGGCCCGCGGGCCGGGTCGTGCGGGGCTCGGGCTCGGGCAGAGAATCTAAGCTCTAGCTATTGGTCAGTGTTGAGCCATCAGGAAACATCTGTCGCCCTAGTTATTGTAGTGTCTGCACCGTTGACAGTTGCGGGCCCTTGTCGGCTTTGTTTTGGCCAATTCAGCATGTTGAATCAGTGTTAAATATGGTGGAGTAAATGCAATCATTTGTATTGGAAGTTTAGCTCAGCACATGAGAGACAGAATCAGAAGTGAGGAAAGTAAACAAATGGCTAATGTCAAGAGGGCATGAGAAGCAGCATCAATGTTCATGGTTTTAGAATAAGATGCTCCTCATCCATCACACAGGAGTAATGTTTGGGTCCCCACATACTGTATCAGCATCTATTTGCTCAGTCTATGAATTTTATGGGTACATTTTTATGCATACCTGCAGGAGATGCAAAATAAGACTCTCATCAGGTTTTTATCCTCTAATGTTTCTACAAAAACTTGTGGTGCTCTGTTGAATCTAACCCTGCATGGGTGAGAGGTCCAGCAGTTTTTGAGATAATTAAGAGCAAAAACTGAGTGAGGGGAGTCGACTGAAATGGAAACTGATGAATTATGGAGTTAACCATGGAGGGAGGGACATGGGAGAGAATTTATATCCCTCTGTCACCGTGAAGGTTGGGAAATTATTTATTGATCGTCTGCAGGAGAGCACTGACGGTGGTCACTCTTGATCTCTCTGTCTCTTTGGACTTTGTCGGGCTTGTACAGTCTCAGGAGGCGAGTCTGAATTATCGCCCGTGAAAGACCTCCCAGCACGGCTTCTAGACACAGGCTGCTGCCCACAACTAATCAGTCCAGTATAAATATCCGGACTCCGCCACCTGTGCGGACACAAGAGCCTGATACCTCAGCACCCAGCTGTGGTTGAGAGCAGTTGCAACAAAAGCACAAACAAATCACTACATGAAGAGAGGATGGACCTTTGTTGTAAAAGGCTGCAATTATATGAACATGACTCTACAGGGAGGAAGTGTCCTGTAGAGCGCTATAGGTGCACGACTTTAAATAGCATACTGCAGTTGTAGTAGGCCTTATGAGCTCCTATCATTATTGGGTGGAGCTGGTGAAACAACAAAAGCCTTTGAAGTGCAGTGCGATAAGCAGAAGAGTCTGAAACATGAGTTTGAGTCTCACGCTGTGGCAGTGGGGTGTTTGCAGGAGTTCACTGAGTACTCAGAATTCATACAGGCTTTGAATCCACCATAAAAGCCTCCATGCAAACGCACCAGTGGTCCAAACCATGTTAATAAATGATGCCAAAATTAACAATTAATGCTGGAATTGTATTCTCTTTACTGTCAGATTTTTCAAACACCATCTGTCAGCACATCCCAGCCTGACCACCAGCTCCATGATTTATTGTCTTGACCTTATTCAGACAACATATTCTCTATCTTCACAACAAAAAGTCAGCTATTCATCAAAACCAGGAAACCAGGAGGAGCATTTCCTGACTTTAACTTCGCACTCAAGCCACAGGGATGTCTGTATCCTGTATTCCGTCCACATTATGTCCAATTACTGCAAACAATGTCAGAAAGTAGTCGCTCCCACAAAGAGTAGGAGCTTACTGGGTGAAAATATCTCAACACACGCCCAAACGTACACTCAGACACGGCTGCCCGGTTGCCACAGAAGAAGAGATAAGAGACACAACCGCAGCATGTGGAAAGAAAAAAAAACCCCACTGCTTACTGTACATCCTTATTTCGCTCACCTCAAAGTGAAGCACGGTAATGCGCCTGTCATGCTCTGCACTCTGAATCCTAACTATGGAGGTAGATATACTGCACAGCCCATATTAACTATAGAGGAAAGAGGCTGGTTCGGCTTTGCTGAGTCAATAGTCATATCCAGGGATGAGGCAAATCCACGAGCACAGGTAGGAAGAGGTACTGTTAGTTTACTCTACAGCTATATATATATGTATATATATATATATATATATATACATATATGGTGCTGGATTTGTTTTCCCTGTCAATTAATTAATTATTTGGTCAATGCAACATCAGAAAATTAATGAAAAAGCCCACAATATCTTACCAGATGCCAAGCTGGTAAGGGCTGGGTAATAAATCAATATTATATGTGTATGAGGTGACACAGTGGTGCAGTGGTTAGCATTGTCACCTCACAGGAAGAAGGTTCCTGGTCTGAACCCAGGGTGGGGAGTTCGGACCTGGGGTGGAGGAGCCCCTCTGTGCAGAGTTTGCATGTTCTCCCTGTGTCAGCGTGGGTTTTCTCTGGGTACTCCAGCTTCCTCCCACAGTCCAAAGACATGCAGGTTAATTGATGACTCAAAATTGTCCGTAGGTGTGAATGTGGGTGTGAATGGTTGTCTGTCTCTATGTGTCAGCCCTGTCTGGTGACCTGTCCAGGGTGTACCCCGCCTCTTGGCCAATGTCAGCTGGGATAGGCTCCAGCCCCCCACAACCCCTAACAGGATAAGCGGTTAGGGGAAATGTATGTATGAATGTATATCTATATGAGACAGTTAGACAATATCTTAGATTTTCATTCATTCATTTTCTGTAACCACATATCCTGTTAAAGTTTGCGGGAAGGCTGGAGCCTATCCCAGCTGACATTGGGTGAGAGGCAGGGTACACCCTGGACAGGTCACCAGACTATCACAGGGCTGACACATAGAGACAGACAACCATTCACACTCACATTCACACCTACGGACAATTTTGAGTCACCAATTATGCATGTCTTTGGACTGTGGGAGGAAGCTGGAGTACCCAGAGAAATCCCACACTGACACAGGGAGAACATGCAAACTCCACATGAACCCCCAGCCCAGGTTCGAACCAGGAACCCTCTTGCTGTGAAGCGACAATGCTAACCACTGTACCACCATGCTGCCATCTTAGATTTTGGATATTGTAATATCGTAAAGCCTGCATTGAAGTAAAGTGATGTCATTTCCTGAACTTACCAAACCATTCTAGCTGTTCTAATTATTGCCTTTACCTACCTTGTCATTATATCCACATTACTGATGATTATTTATCAATATCTTACTGTGTAAATATTTTGTGAAAGCACCAATAGTCAACCCTACAATGTCGTCGCAATATCGATATCACGGGACATGGTCGAAAATATAGTGATATTTGATTTTCTCCATATTGTCCAGGCTTATATTTTTGTACAAAAACACAAAAAAATACTGTGATTAAAGAGGAAGCTGAAACCATCACGTTTTGCTTGAAAACCAACTGAATCGATTGACCAATTACCAGAATAGTTACTGATTAATTTTCAGTCAAACAACTTATATTTGTACCATAACTGTTTGGCAAGTAGGCATCGAGACGTCTTCAAGGATTGGAGGATCAGAGGTTCCTTAAAAATGTCTTTACCAATCACCACGCCTTCATCTCTACACATGACAGGCATCTACGCACTAATTCTGCAAACTTATATGATACTGAAAAAAAACTGTTCTTCATTTTGAGGCCCCTATCAGTTTGGTGGGTGCCTGACGCGCAACCTGCTCCCATGTATGAACGTATGCCGTTGCTATATTCTGTGTGGCACTTGCTTCCACTGGCAGTGCCAAGTGCTGATAGTTGGTAAACTCATCTGTATGACTGCCAAGTGTTGGATCTTCCCCCTCAGGGCTTCCCCAGCCAATGCAATTACACTGATTTTACAGTCTTTATTCCACGTGAATAAACCTCTCTAATTAAATCTGCACAACGCCCTGTTAAATTCCTGATCAGATCTAATGTGTGGGATAGAAAGTGATGATCCAGTGGCCACAAAGAGAGGCTGATGACATCAAGAGAAAAGGCTGAGAGACCATGCAAAGCAATGGGGTTGTTAATTAAGGCAAATATGATGGATACAAATGAAGCAATAACTCCTGGTGGCAGTGCAGAGTCTTACCGATGGTGGAGATGTGAGACGGGTGAAATTCGTTGTCCGTGAATCTGCATAACAAACATGTTTTCCCAACCCCAGAATCTCCGAGGAGCAGGAGTCGGAAGAGCACATCGTACTGTTTAGCCATGGTGTTGGATGTAGTGTTAGATTAGAAACAGCCCCAGTCAGCTAACTCAGCGATGGATGAGCGATCCCTCCCCTCCTGCATCCCATGTCTGCTCACACGGTCACCATGAGGCTGTGGCTCTGCTGCTTTGTGTTCACTGACGCTGGGTCGGTAGGTGACAAAACAGGGATGCTCCAGCTTCCTAGGCTGCCTCCAGCTTCCAGTGGGTGCGGTGGAGCATAGTCAGGTAGGACTCAGTGAGGAAATAAGACTTCCGGTGCTGCTTTCCAACATAAAAGCTGCAGAGGACTTATTTTTAAGGATTTTTTTTATGAGAATGAAAACACCTCTGGCAAAAATCACATTCATTATAAAAACAGGTCAGTGCAAAGAAGTTACAGTAGTAAATAAAATAAATATAAACATCTTGTGATACAACCATGACATATTATCACAAAGGGCGTGTTTTTAACTGTATTGAAAATACATTAGATAACAGAGGAAAAATTTAATAAAACAAAATGAAATAAATAAAGTAAAAATGAAATAAAAAATAAAATGAAATTAGAAAAAAAGAAATTAAAAACAATAAAATGAAATGAAATAAATAAAATTAATAAAATAAAATAATGAAATAAAATAACATGTACACATAATAAATAAAAATAAAAATGATGAAATGAAATAACATGTAAACATAATTAAATTAAATTAAATAAAAAATAATAAAATGAAATCAATTGAAATAAAATAGAATAGAATTAAATTAAATTAATGAAATGAAATAACATGTACACATAATAAATTAAAATTAAAATAATGAAATGAAATAACATGTAAACATAATAAAATAAAATAAAAATAATAAAATGAAATCAATAGAAATAAAATAGAAATGATAAAATTGAATAAAATAAAATAAAATTCCTGAAATAAAATTAAAAAAAGGGGGGAATAACTTTATCTCTGTTATCTAAAGGGGGGGGGGGGGGGGATGTTTAAGACTATCAATTGTTGTACTTGTCTTCCTATTATCAGTTTAAAAGACTTTATACTACTTTACTTACTTACTTTACTGAATTTTATTTAATCTGATTCTATTTTATTTAGCCAAGAAGGTCCCATCGATATACAAGATCTCGTCTTCCAGGGAGCCCTCGTGAAGACAGCGGCACAGGCAGTTACAAAAGTAAAAAAATAAAAAATAAAAAGCTAAGTCACATACAACATACACAATATGTTAAGCAACACAAGAGAAAAATGTAAGAAGAAAAGGGGTTTACAGGCTAAACCAATGATGTCCATACACCATCCACCATACAGAATAGGTCAAGGACTTTATGAAGCAGCAACATGTTTCCTTCAAGGCAGTTTTAAAAAAGCCCTTTATAATGTTCAAGGACAGGAGTGCTTCTAAGGTAGCAACACTTTAGAGCTTTGGAGAAAGCAGTTTTACCAAGCTCTGAGAGCACCCTGGGGACATTTAAAAGAATAAGATTTCTTATATGTGTGATAGTTTATAAAGCTCACAGCATATTCTTATTACATCTGCTTATTGCAGGTTACATATCATCCACTTTTTATGTAATGTTTATTAAAGTATCCATACTTTGCTTCAAACTGATCAAACTAGTAGTGGGATATTTGTTAAGTAAAATGCACAATGCAAGCATGACATATTAAAACCAGATTTTAACTCAGGGCCCCTCTGCAACATGGGACCTCAAGACTAGAAAGGCTAATGACAAACATGTACAACATGCTTCGCTGGTTATTTGAAAAGCCCATCACATCCAGTAACATTTCCTTACTGTCCTAACTACACTGTCTCCACAGTCAGATCGTATAATAGCTGTACCTCAGCTGGCAGCCAATAGGATTCCCCAGCCAACACTCCCACCTACGCCCTAATCTTAGTTGTGTGCATTTGTTATTAAATCAAACCACATCTCAAACATCAACTCATAAGATGTGCTAACAGTGTGACAATGACAAATATAGTGTTCAAAACTTCAGTGGTGTCATTTCCTGTTTCTCATCTGACAGGTTTGCATTTTTAACATTTATTTACAATCAAATTCGTGATTAAGTAATTGAATCTGAAGCTACAGGGCCTCTTAAGATCTCAGCCAACTGAAATGTTTCCTGCTTTGACTGGTTGGTAATCCATCTGTGTGTACAGCTGTGTCACAGCTGTGTTTGGAGTCAAAGGATCTGATCTTGTGTAAACCACCTTTCAATAAAACATGATAACGTTTGTAACCCTTCTATCACACAGACTGGTATTACTGGACTGAAAGCAGGCACAGCTCCAACACACTCTGCCTGCCCTTTGAAAAATGTTGGAGAAAAATTCTCATTGAGAGCACGTGAAGACAAATTCTACCAGATCTGGCCACCCTTTATCGACCACTTCAAAAATGTTGTTAATCCTTTCCACAAACTAGCCTGGATTAAACACCATTCACAAAAGCACTATTGACATATTTGAAATACTTTTTTTCCAGCTTATTCTTTTTTTTCCCACTGCATTCTTCCCTTTTTATTTTGTCTTATTCAACTTGTCTCAATAGGCTACATTTTTTCTGTTCTCTAAGAACTGAAATTCCAAAAAGTTAAAGTACTGCAGCTACTGCTTTTTCCCTATACGTGTGTGATAATTCACCTGTAAAACATGGGTTTGTTTAATTTCTATTTTATATAATTGTTGTTTTTTGATGTCATCTGCACTTATAAAATACTTATCGTTCAACTTGTGTGTTTTACTCTGAAAACCCCCAATAAAAAAGAAATGCAAATAAAAAAAAGCTTTAAAAACATGCTAACTACAGGGGTGTCTAACTTTGTGTCACTTTTGTCATTAGTGTCCATAAAGGCTGTATGGAAATAAAAAAAAAATCATGTAGAAATGTGATTTTTTTTTTCATTTTGAGCGTTTATTTTGAAGGCTAGATCACACCACTTCCGGTAGTGCACCATTTTGTTTGTAGGCGACTTGACGCAGATCAACGGTAGGAATAACGCGCGCGGTGGTATTGCTTCTTTCGACGTCAGTGACATAACACCAATGAGAGAGTGGGAATGACATAAAACTATAACACAGACATTTACTTACTCGTTTATTCATAATTTGTCATAAAACTCACGTCAAACACTTTTACCAGAGGCTCTGAGTGTTTGTGTGCCTTTTATCGCACTGTGAATGACTAAAGTTTGTTCCCTTGGAGACGCCGTAGCAGGAGTGCGCGCAGTTTCCGCCCACTCCAACCTCAGCAGGAAGTGAGCGGAGTCCAGAGAAACTAAACTACCAAAACAAACTAACAGCATCGCTTCACTCCCCGCTCCCCTGCAGCTTACGGGTCCTGTCGCCACCAGCACCATGGACGGTGTACCGACGCCTCTGCGGTGCTTCGATGAATGCCACCCCGCGGAAATGTTCGTGGATGACGGTGTGGAGACTGTGACTTCGGTGGAGCAGGTGAGTGGCGGCACAGATTAGCTCCGTTAGGTAATGTGGCTAATGCTAATGCCGATGCTGAGATTGAGTGGCAGCCTCTCTGCTCAGGATGGAGGCGCGTGCGGAGAAGTGTGACAGAGATTGAACTCTCACACGCTTTATTTCTATCACCATGAATCAATCTGTAGATTAGGAGAACGACCGGAAACTGATCAGAAGTAATTAGCTAGCTGGTTAGCAAAGTTGAGCTTTTAGGTAGCTAGCATTGTACCTTAATGAGATTATGAATTAAGTTAGCCTTTAGCTAAGTAACTTAAACAGTTAAGCCTGAGTACAACACATGTCAATTTACTGTGAGACTGTTGACCAGACTGAGAGGAAAACTCCACATCTAATAGACTTATTATGGTCTGGATTTGAGTTAGTGTGGTTTATTAATTCAAGGATGCAGCAATTAAAGGGGAAGAACACTTAAATTGTGAAATTCTGACATAATGTTTTTGTGGTTTAGTAAAGTTTAATCAGTATTTGTGGACATGAGCTACTCTCTCTCTTTCAAAGCCAGAAACCAGAAACTTGTGATGTCATCAAGTATAAAGTCTGGAGCTGCTCCATAGACAATGAATGGGAACCTGATTTTGTGGACCATCAGGATGTTGTCATCAGGACGGGTCTTTTTTTCAATACCCAAATGATCTTTATTCTACTGTACAGTCCTGAGACAGAAAACGTTCCCATATACAGGGAATATTCCTCTGGGTGCTCTCAGTGTCATCTATAGCAGTGGTTCCCAACTGGTCCAACCATGGGGTCCAATTTCTCCAGTCATTAGTTCAAAGTAGGGGTGGGGGAAATAATCAATACAGCAGAAGAATAACAGAATAATATAAACAAATGCTTATTCAGTTTACTAAGAACATTTTTCTGCTGCAATTGAATGGCTGAAGTGAGATGAACAGACTGCAAGCATAATCTTACCAGATAATAAAACAGACGTTGACAAAGCTTTTCTTTGGGGAGATAAATTTGCAGGTGGAAAAAAAGGTAATATATGGTAATATATTTATTGCAAAACTCAGCATAAACCAACATATTTAAAAGCACAGTAATATTGTGTCGTGATTTAAGTATCACGATAATATCGTACTTGGAGCCTCTGGTGATTCCCACCCCTTGATCAAAGTCCAGACAGTTTAATACATCAGCGTCATACTTGCGTTTGGCCGTGTCACTGCGCTAGTTTGCTGTCTCTGTTGAGTAGCTGTCAGTTATTCACTCACTCTACAGCAGGAGACAACACTTCAAAGTAAAAGCTCTGTGGCAGAAATTCACTGTACTCTAAAATAATGTTTTTTACAAACTTGACATGTTGGCGAGTCACTTGCAGTCCAATCACAATGGACCCGCGACCCACTTTTGGACCACAACCCACCAGCTGGGAACCACTAACCTATAGCACCTTTTCAATTCATTGTCCATGGAGCAGCTCCAGACTTTATACCCTATGAAATCTTAAATTTGAGTTTCAGCACTCTTGTCTTTGGATCTGGAGGAGAGATAGTCCTTTTTATTAACATATTTGGACTGTCTTCAACCTTAGGAATACAATGTATGCATTTTGAATAAGGATGTAGTTCCCCTTAAAGTAAGAGATACCTAAAAGAGAAATGACCCCCTTTCCTAGTAATAGAGTGTAACTACTAACTATCTTTGCTCAAGTACGATAAGATCAGATAACTTTATTTGCCATTTGTAGAGTCAAGTCAGAAATACACAAGTAATGATGACTAGTAAAAGTAGTAGAGGTAAAAATAGTGTTCTTATCTGTACTTTACTGTACAATTATGAGGTACTTGTACTTTACTTCAGTATTTCTATTACATGCTACTTCATATTTCTGCTCCACTG